TGCTGCAATTTAAGGAATGGAAAAGTTTATTTACTGTTTGAAAATCTGCACTAAATGAAATTTCGTTTTGTATAAACTCTCCGTATATAAAATGAAAATAAAAGTTGTGGAAGTCTAAGTGCTGTTCATCACCACAATAACATCCTCACCCAGACTGATGAACTGTCCTTCAAAGTTGAGGTCTTTGAGGACCACGATGATCTGGCTCCCCTCTGGTGCCGGTTCGGTCCAGCGACTCACTTCACAGCCCTTAATGTCGTATCTGGCAGAAAGAAAAAAAAAAACACACTTAAACCCAGAACTTTCTGCACTGTTTGCGTCCTAGGATCCAGACTCACCTGGCGTTGATGCGATCATCTGGATAAAACACGCTTTGCATCACCATGAAGTATTTCTGTGATGAGAAAACAGAAAATGATGCTCTGTAAGATGGTTTAAATCGGTGGTTCTGCTACTTTTAAGCTTCTGATCCACAAAAAAAAAACACAAGAAGAGGAGACTGAGACCATCAAAAAAAATTAAAAACTAGTGTTGCCCAGATGCCATTTTCTGGCCCCGATACCCGATACCTGGCCGTGCAGTATTGGCCGATACCGATACCATCTGGTTGAAATTAATGTGTGAGTATATATGAGGACCTGCACACTACTTGGATGCAGTGATGGGAGTAATGGCGTTGAAAGGGTTAGGGTTACTAACACCGTTACCTTTTTTAGTAATGAGTAATCTAACTAATTACTTTGACTGTAACTATAACGCAGTTACCATTGCCGATACCCCATTACTGCGCTTTACTCAGGTCGCACAATTAACCTTTTTTCATGATAGGACTCAATGGCTGAATGGCTGACGTATAGTGAGATTCCGTCTGTCAGTTGGGTAGGTGGGTGTTTCCGCTGGCAGGTGTTAACGTACAGCAAACACAGAAAGATGGAGAGTCAGGAGGACTCCGGCAGCAAAACAGCGTTTTCCACATGGAAATACCGCTGTTACGTCGAGCTGCGTTTCCTCATCAGATATGGTTTCCCCTGCTCGCTAAAGGTGCGTAACAGTCGCCCTGTGCTCGCGCCACAGGAGAACTATGGAGAGCGTGAACAATCAAATGATAGCCTGTATGGATGAATGAATGAATGAATGAATATTTATTTATTTCAGACAATAATATTAGTAACAAAAAAATAAAATAAATAAATCAAATTAACAAATAATATAAATGAATCAAAAGAACAAATAATAATAAATAGAACAATTCCAATTTCAGAAATGATCAAATAATAACAATAAATAANTAGATGATGATAAATAACATAGTTATGTATAATATATTACATTTCTGACTGTATATCCCTGTAATTATTACACACTGTAGCTTTAATGTGACTAAATGTGTGTGAAAAGACATAAAAACAGATGTTCTCCATTCAACTGCATTGAAGCAGTGATGTTTTACAAAAAACAGAATGACCCAATATGTTGACACTTTTTTATGTGTTTTATGATCTATAAAGAGCTCATAAAACATAAAAAAAAGAAAACACAGACATTTTGCTTTCTTTCACCTCACAGCTCTGCTGTACTGGAATGTTTCATTAAATCCACTGACCTTTGTGGTGAACATGACATAGTTTGAATGGAAAAGCTTTTTTTAGACTCTTTGAATGCGAACATGAGGCTTTGATCTTAGCTTTATTCTTTTTTCTGTAGAATCTACAGACTTTAATCCCTCGAAAAGGAGCGGCTCCAAATGGAGGGGTTTCTGAAACACTGCTTCTGTTTAAAGTTTTAACAGAATATATATTGAGCCATGTTTTTAACAGGGTTCATTTGAAAAGTGACTCGATAATCTGGCAAAATGACATTTTGAATTGAAAAAGCTTCCTGGATGGGAAGCGAAACGTCTTCAAACTTGGAAACAAAGTCCAGTGGAATGTTTTTAATTTTTTTGGAATGACTATGACCTGGATGACTGAGAACCTTCACCAACAAACGCATTAAATCAGTAAATAGTCCATATAGTGACGCTTCAAAGTATAGTGTTCTTGCCTCAAATGATCTTTAAATCCCTCATTTACATAATGAGGCAGAAATGCAAATACGACAGGCAGAAATAAAAAGCATTCAAGAAATAAGTAGGGTAAAAAATACAAAGGAAGAATAAAACAGGCAAAAATATTATAACATGTACATAAATGAATACTTAAAAAAATAAGTAATTAATAAATAAAGTTGAAGATTATAACAGACAATAAATAAATAAGATTATTATTACAAAGGCGAAAAAAATAAAGAAGCACTGTATCATTTAATTACTACCTACATTTATTTGTTTATTGTATTTTTGGGGGCAATTAATTTTATGCTTATTTATTTATTGAGCATTTATTCATTTTCGTATTTGTTTTTTAAATATGGTAGAGTTGGTCCTTCATAGTGGTATGGAAGCCTGTTTCCGCCACTCTGTAAAAAAAAAAAGAATATCTCATTATAATGAGATAGTAACTCAATATAATGAGATACTATTTCATTATAATGAGTAATTTTTTTTTTTTTTTTACAGAGTGGCGGAAACGGGCTTCCATATACTGGTGTTGGTAATGGAAGAACTAAAACACTGTGAAAATAATTCAATTGTCAGACCAGGACTGGAAGCAGTACAGTGTCTGACCAGCAGGGGGTGTTGTTGAAAAAACTCTAAATCATGTCACAAACTCTGCATCACACTAATAACACCAAAACACTGCAGATTGGCACCATACATA